GGTCCTCCCCAAATCACTTTTCCCCCCCCCCCCCGTTTTGATGCTATCTTTCCCAAACATGGTTTGATACTGTTGTGTACCAAGGGAGGCCGCACGCACGGTCAGGCTCGCATGTGGCCATGCAGACAGGTTAAGCTTCGCATCCGAAGACAATAGTAGCAGAGGATCCAAGAGCTAGCTAGTTGGCCAGCCTGGATCCAAAAAGGAACCAATGGTGGGAGTTGTTTGTAAATAAACCTATCATGGATTTGTGTGTGTGTGTGTGTGTGTGTGTGTGTGTTGAGTGTGGTTAAGAACGGGAATATAAGTGGGCCATGGGTCCCGCTAGTTATCTGAAGTTCTCCTATGCATGAATAAAGTATGAGCTGAAATCACTACGCTTTGCCTCAGTCTCAGTACTTTGTAGATACAATGTGTTCTTGAATCATCATAGTACTATAGAATTTCTGGAGCTTCCTAGAGCTGCCGTACGTCACTTCTGGGTTTTCCCAGGAAGGGACATAGTGGTGCACACAACGCTGAGGGTTTTTTAAAAAAAATTCCTGCCGCCACTTGGAGCAGCGCTGGGCAAGAATTGGGGAGGGGGACAGCCCTTACACCCACACAAACACCCAGAGCTATTAAAGAACTGACTTCAGAGGATTTTATATTTTTCATAATTGCCTTCTTATAGTTTTTAATCTTTCTCCCTCCATTTTTCAGACTATTCTGCAAGCAAGGCAGCAGCAATTGGATTTTTGGAGACAGTTGCTTTTGAATTACAGGCTGCAGGAAAGAAAGGCATTAAAACTACTATTGTCTGTCCATATTATGTGCATACAGATCTTACTATTGGTGTAAAAACAACGTGAGTGTTGGGTTTTGAATAACAATTCATTTACAGAAAGTTATAAGTCAGTAAGCTTACTGACACTTCTGTGTGTAAGGGCCCAAAGTTACTTTACAGATGTCCACTGGGATTTTTACTTTTTCTTTTTGAATATGAGAAATGGAAAACTTCCTCTATGTTCAAAAGAGGTTAGTCATGCCCCCTGGGGGAAGGGAAGTGCCCAGAAGTTACTAAGTTCTTTAGATCCAGGCAAAGTGTTCAGACTTGTCTAATCAGCATTTTTTCTTCTTCAGACGGCCCTGTCTTCTTCCAATCTTGGATGTAGAGTATGTTGGCAGGACAATTGTGGATGGTATTCGGAAGGACAAGTTTTATTTGTTTCCATTGCCAATTACAACCTTTTCTGTTCTAAAAGTGTAAGTATATGGCATTTCTCTCACTTCCTCTCTCTGACTTGGAACACTGTTGGATATCCTTAAAAGGTGTGTGGGAGTAAATAACAATAGGTATAAAAATTAAGGTGCAATATTACTTTTAATATTTGTTATATTAAATTTTAAGAATCAAATTTTCAGTTTTTGTATTCCATTGATACTTTTATTGGGTTCTCTGTGTGTGTGCGCGTGTGTGTAGACTCAGGTGGGTAGCTGTGTTGGTCTGTAGCAGCAGAACAAAGTTTGAGTCCAGTGGCCCCTTTAAGACCAACAAAGTTTAATTCTGGGTATAAGCTTTCATGTGCATGCACAGTATTTGAAGAAGTGTGCGTACTGCATATAGGTAGAGAGAGGGTGGGGAGTTAGTTGCCAAGAAGGGCTAGTTAGATTCAAGATGCATAAGTAACTGGGCGATTATGGCTGAGATTGTATTAAGGCAGTTGGTAAGGTCTGTGAATGGCAGTAAATTAGCATACAAATACAAGAGTTAACAAACTGCCCTGACTCCAATCTGGTGGAACTCACTGCCAACTTCCATCAGGGCCCTGTGGGACTTAATGCAGTTCTGCAGGGCCTGTAAGGCAGAGATGTTCCACCAGGTGTTTAGTTGAGGACAGTGACATGACTGTCACTCCCACTCCCTTGCCTCCCTTTGAGGCAGTGGCACAACTGGAATTTTTAGCATCATCTATTAGGTTTATTGCTTTGTTTTTACTGTGTTTAATTGTGTGTTATATGAATTTACTCCATGTTGTACTGCACCCTGAATCCTGTCCTTACAGGGAAGGGCGGTTTAAAATCCAATTTAATAAATAAATAAATGATATGAGACTCTGTTCTCACTTATACCCAGAAATTAAACTTTGTTGGTCTTAAAGGTGCCACAGGACTCAAACTTAGTTCTCCTATCTGTTGTTAATGTCTTTATTATCCATATGTTAATTTGCTGCTATTCATGATTGGTCTTATCAAAGGTGTTATTCCAATCTTACCTGTATTTACTGCTTAGTTAGTTATGCATCTTGACTCTAATTAGCCCTTCTTGGCAACTAACCTCCCTTACCTACATATAAAGTTTGAAGAAATCAGTTTCAGTGTATTTGAAGGAGTTTGCATCTGCACATGCTAAGTCTCTCAGTTCTCTCTTATACCCAGAATTAAATTTATCGGAGGTGCCACTGCACTCAAACTAGGTTCTCACATCTGTTTGTTAACTCTTGTATTTGTATGCTAATTTACTACCGTTCACAGATCTTACCAACCGCCTTAATCCAATCACAGCTATAATCACCCAGTTATTTATGTAGCTTGACTCTAATCAGCCCTTCCTGGCAACTAACCCCCTCCCCAACTATATTTAATAGAATTTGAGGAAATTCTGTTTCACTGTATCAGAAGAAGTGTGCTTGCATACAAAAGTGTATAACTTGGATACAAATACAAATATAATACCTTTATTGGCATAAAATAACTTGAATAAAACTTTGTTGGTCATAAAGGTGCCACTGGTCTCATACTTTGTTATGAAAAGAAGTTGTTAATAATGGTTACCATATTTTAATAAATTCATTCACCTCATGCACAAATGCACCAAGTTGCCATCAAGCCTCCAGTTTAGTTGGTCTTTCTTTAACTCTCCATGTTGACATGTGGGACCAGCTTCTTTCAGTTAATAGGTCAAGTTTTAAAAGTTTATATCCATTAATTATCATATCAAAAGAGCAAGAGCAGATAAACTATGCCTAATCTCATCACATTGACACATGGAATATATAGTTGAAGAGAAAATACAAGCCACTCTCCATACTGGATGCTGTATGGTGCTGATGGTGTCTTCGTCTGCTTTTTAAATAGTTAGGTGTGGTCCCAGCTGCTCTTCCTCTGGATTATTTGCTCCCTTGATTCTTGGACCTTTCCTGCCTTGGGAGCTGGATCCTTTTTGAATCTGGTCCAATAGGCATCAGTGGACTCTGCTTTTCCCGCTTGCTCTACTTCATTGGGCCATTTGCCTATCATTTTAAGTGAAGTACATTAGACACCATGCATGATTGTTTGGAATATTTAATGTTTAATGTAGGTAGTGCTGAGGATTATCCACAGAAGCTTAATATGATTTTGACAGCTAGAGTTCAGTGTTACGCCAACTGCTTTATTTACAGCAGAGGCTAACTAAATTTTTAACGTGAGTTCTGGCCAGCTATACCAGGGTCGTGTCTGAACCCAGAGTTCCAGTAATTGAAATCACATGGGTGTTTTTCCAAAACAAATAATCTTTTTACTGAAGGATATCAAAGTCACACATACAAAATAATCAGTCTCTCAATTCACATACACTCAAGTTTCCTTTAGAATTACAGAAATAGAAATAAAATAGTTTAGTTATTCACTTGGAGATAGGCAGGAAAATCAGTTCATACTTGCCTGTTTCTAGAAGTCTTGTCTGTTGCAATGAAGAATAAAGGGACAGAAAATAGTGTCTAGAAGTTTTACCTACATCACACTGTTCCAGAACCAGCCGGTCAAGTGTGTGTGCGTACATGTAAGTGGATCTCTTTGGCTGCGCATCCCAAAGAGATCCGGTAAAGACAAAGGCTGATTTCGCACTAGAGCTGCCTCGATGTTGTACTGCCATTTGCCCCGATACTATTGGTCAATTTCACACCCGAAGCCGTGGGGCTGCATTTGACCCGCGGCTTCACCCGATTTCCTCCGCAGTTTCGTGATCCTCAAAAAATAGGATCACGAAACTGCGGGGGGAATCGGGCGAAGCCGCAAGCCAAAATGCAGCCCCGCAGCTTTGGGTGTGAAATTGACCAATAGTATCGGGGCAAACAGCGGCACAACATCAAGGCAGCTCTAGTGCGAAATCAGCCAAAGAGTTTTAAAGCAGGAAAGGGGGGGGGTAGTAGAATGTGGCTAGCCAGAAGGCTTGCAGCATGGTCTTTGCGTTGATAGTAAAATGTGGCTAGCCCAGCCCCTAAAGCATGGTCTTTGCGTTTTATAGTTGAAACTCCAGGTGGGTGGCACCTTGCCAAACTGCAATCCCACCCACCTACAAGTCCATCCCATAAATTCCCTGATTGGTGCATGTAGAAAAGGGGCAAGTATTCTTTGGGTTGGGCAATATTTGAAATACTACACTCTATCTCATGGAATGCCATTACAAATCTCAGCTTCAGGACATCTCTTTGTTGTGCTGATCGATACCAGTACTCAAGGCACCTTCAATAGGAAATGGCAATTCAAATGCAGTTCAGGTCCATGTTCTGCGTGACATCCAGTCTTTTCAGTAATGGGGGAATCTCTTCCTCTTAGTTGTTGTTCTGCTTACAATGGCTAACATGTGCTTCTTCTTCCCACAATGCCTTGCGTTGAATGTGTGCAAGCTACATTAACATAAAATGCAGCCAAGCGTTCCCTATGTGAAATCTCTCTCTCACAGTAGGTGATGCAAACAGTTTTCTTTGGCTCATGGTATACAGATGTGTGCACAGTCCATGTGTTGTGTGTGTAGCAGATATAAAACCATAAATTAGTCCATTTCCCAACATCAGTGATTCTCTAGCCCAGTACTGTATATTATTCTCGACGATCAACTTTGTTTCTTATTTCACTTAGTACTCCTTCCAAGCTTGTAAGAAGCCTTGTCTTTTGCCAGCATATTCCCTTATACCCTGAACATGTTGCTTCCAAGAATAAGGGTGTTCATTTAGACTGGGTATAAAATCTAAGCCAACAGCTATTTCGGTGGAGGAGTTGAGAAGCAGATTAAGAAGGGACCTTCCTCCTTATACTCAGGCTAGTTTTATGTGATCAAAACAAATGTATTCAACTAGAACATCTGACTTAACCTCTTTAATTACATGCAGGTATGTTCAGGTGTATCTACTATCAGCCCTTGCCTCAGGTGTTGTGATGAAAGCAGAAAGAAGTTTACATCACCTGTATTTTTTAATCTGTATGAAACACATTTTCACGGGATCTGTTTTGCCAGTTTAATGGTTCCACAGGAGCTTCATATGAATTTAGCATTATATATTATATAATATATTTTTCTAGTATCACAAGTTCCTCTTCTCCCCAATCAATACTCTGAGCAGTCTAAGGGGAAGCTTATTCCTTGTTTACCTGTGCCATAGTTTTATAATGTAAAATAATTTTTTATCAGTGGCCTTTTCATATTCTTTGATATGCATATCTTCTCTTTGCATTCCAAAAATCATCCTTATATGATAACTCAATACATTTAGAGTCCAGTGGCACTTTTAAGACCAACAAAGGTTTATTCAAGGTAAGAGCTTTCATGTGCATGCACACTTTCTCAAATACACTGGAATGGCAGGTTATAAATTTAGTATTATATATTATTTGAAAAAGTGTGCATGCACAGGAAAGCTAATTGCCCCCTCAGTCGGAATAAAGAGACAGATACCAGTGTGGATTTAACAAGGGCCACTTTATTAATTAATTAATTAATTACTACTGTCGAGGGGTTGCCAGAAATGTACTGAGGAATATGACAGGTGTCAATCTCCTGACAGCCTTCATATCCTTCTGGGCGATGCACCTGCCCCAATCTCAAGCCACCAAAGGTAGCTTTCAACCAGCAGCATGGCATGTTCAAGAGAACCCCTGACCCACCACCCCAGAAGCCACAAAGGCCCACTAAGGTAGGCTGAGCCAGATTGTTCCAAGGAAAATCATCCCTTCCCGGCCTTGAGCCGCAAAGGCCCGAAAACTGTTCCTGAAGGACCCTTTATTTCCTTTATAACAATGCCCCGGTGCTCACCATTTCCATCCTGATCGCGCTACCCCGCCACAGCAAAGGTCAAGCCTCTGCTTAGGCCTTGGCCCCCACCATGCGATACAACGCCGCCAGGACCCCTCACTTGAGATTTGAAAGAAAAATGTTGTTGCCCTTGTTAGAAAGATGCACCCCATCTCCCCTATACAGGTCAGGGAACTCGACCTGTATTTCAGGG